TAGAACATCCAGATAGAAAAAATACGAATTTCCAAAACATATTCCGACACTCACCTCATCCAGGACTAGTATTCTGCAACTGTCCATAATTGCGACATTTTTGTCCATGAGGTCTAAAATTCGACCTGGTGTCGCAATAATCACATGAACTGGAATAAAATAAAATTGAACAAAGTTACCACATACCAGCGAGTTCGACTATCACGACTATCGTCTCTGAATAAAAACACTGGCCCAAACGTTCCGGACGAGCTTACGGAGAAATTTGCAGTACCAATTTAAGTAAACATTTTAAAATGGCGGGGGGCTACAGCGCAAGAACAACATATGTGCTTAGAAATCTCGAGAAAATATTTTATATCCTATAAATTGACTTGATAGATTCATTCTTTATTAAATATAAAAAAACATTTTTAGAGGTCGACAGTGATTCCTACAACTATTTAATTTCAAGTAAATAAAATCTGCCTTCACAAACATTTATTCAACACCCATAATCGCAATAAACACAAAATAAAACCTTGACGTGAATATCAAACAGCTGAATATAAATATTCACGAACGTGAGTTCCGACACAAGTTTTAAAAAAAATGGCCGACTCACACTTCGGACAGACGGGGAGATAGAAAGAGAGAGGACGACTTGTTTTACAGTCCAGCAAATACAAAAAAAATCAAGTTAAAAACGTCAATGATTTCCTATAAACATATAGAAAAATAAAACAATATACGGTAAGAAAGTCATGCGTCCTGTTCCACTAACTCACATGATGCGTTCTATTACGTAGCGAACGTAAAAGATACCAAATTCTTACCCACAAAGAGCGCAGCACAAACATTGCATTAGCCATGAATCTTTTTGGGATTTTCACTGAAATTATCAGATCGCAATTCGCAGTTCACAGGCCATTACAAAATCATACTTTAAAGCACAACAATTCTTAATACTGAAACATTTTATTTCTGTAAACAAATGTAACAGATTCGTATTCTACGCCAATCTACCTCGGTAAATCGATGAAATTCAATTACCTTTCTGATAAATCCTCATAATATCATCTCTTAGGTTAGTTCCGCCAGTTGTGACCATAACTTTAATGTCCATATGTTTCGCAAGTTCTATGCAGATCTGACTAGTCTGTAGTGCCAGTTCTCGTGTCGGCACGATCACAAGCGCTGCGAAATAATACAGAACCATAAATAATAACACATTTCATTTTTTTACAAAAATTTCAAGTCTAATTATTACAGATATCAGAGTTGTTAGTATCATTTATCAGGGTAAATGAAGGGGAATCCAACTTTTAACTCATCATTTCAAAGTCAAATAATCATACTTCTTCCTCTGGAAATATTTACAGACTTTATTCGGCCTTTCCCCCAAATAAATTCAATATTAAG